GGCGGATGAAACAGTACATTACGGTAACCACAAGTCACATGAGGGGTCTGGGGTGGGAAGGTGGGCGGTTTCCACGAGTAGGCTCAGGGTGGGGGTTGGCTAAATTTCAAGTTGCGTGGTTCCAAAGTGAGAAAGTGTTGATTTTTATAAAAAAAATGGATACCTCCATCTGTAAGCTGGGATATTGTATCTCTATATATGTATACACAAGATAAGCGGGGTCGAAGCAGCCCACGTTCTAAATAATCGAAGTTGTGTCGGTGGAGGAGTGAAATATAAACAAGCATTTACTGACGAGCGCCAATTTGTGTAACAAGAGATTTTTAAACCCCGAGCACCCTCAATAGAGTGCTCTTTTAGAACAGCAAAATGAAACTGAAAATTGAAAAGACTGACTGTATTTGTACATTTTTAGCGTTGGACGTTGAGCTTACGACAGCAGGGGCAAAAAACAAATAGATTTATTATAAAAGATCACGTCGTTCATATTATAATATATACCATCGTGGGGCCATAAGACGTATATGTAATGATCTTTTAAAACAAACGAAGAGACGATGACTGACTCAGTAACGTCGTTACCTTTGTCCTTGCAGGTCCTACGCCTGGACAGGAACGACCTGTACCAAGTGAAGCGAGAGTGGTTCATGGGCCTCACCTCGCTCACCTCCCTGTACCTGAACGACAACCACATCGCTGACCTAGAGGTCAACCTCTTCGACCGCCTCTCCCACCTCCAACACCTAGACTTGTCCGACAATGCTTTGAGGGCCGTCCCCAACACCGCCCTCACCGGACTAACAAACCTACGCCTGCTCAACCTCTCGGGGAATTTCCAGCTCCGCGAAGTGCCCGGCGTGGGAGATCCACAGCTCCGCGAAGTAGCCATGACAATATATTCCGGTAACGCCTCTACCGAAGGGGAATCCCCTAACAACGGGAAAACTAACATAAACACCCCAACTTCCTTCACATCACCCTCCCTTTCTCCCCCCTCGTCTTCCAGCGGAGAGCTCTCCCACCTCCCAGCGCTGAGCATCTTACTGATGGACGGCATCGCCCCCTCGCGCCTCCCGTCCCTGTCGGTGAGCGGACTGCGCGTGGCGGAGCTGTCCATGAGCTTCCTGCCGCGCCTGCGCGTGGTGGACAAGTGGGCGTTCCGGAACCTCAGCAACCTGCACACGCTCCAGCTCCACGACAACCCGCGCCTGGTGTTCCTGCACCCCGACGCCTTCTCCGGCCTGCCCGCGCTGCGCCACCTGCACCTGCACAACAACGCGCTGATGGCGCTGTCCCAGCGCGTGCCCGCCTCGCTGCCGTCGCTGACGGACCTGCAGCTGCACCACAACCCGCTGCACTGCGACTGCAACATCTACTGGCTCCGGCAGGAGCTGGGACTCACCCTACAGCATCATCATCACTCTCAGCTTCGCCAACCAAATACCGACAGCAGTATTGAAAACAACAACAGTAGCATCAGCAACGGTGGCAGCGGCATTGGTGCGGACAATAGCAACAACAGCAGCAGCAGTAATAGTGGTAGCAGCAACAGTGGTGACGTTAACTCTAATCTAAACGCGCCGTCATCAGCAAATTCTTCTTTCTCCTTATCACAACCGTCACCATCACCATCATTATCATCATCGCCACCATCACGTGCATCGACACCGTCGTCAACATCTGCATACGTCCCCCTTTCAAATAATAAACCTTCCACGCTGTCACTGGCAGAACTTTCATCCAAACTTTCAGAACTGGCCTCTGGGCTGTCCTCATTGTACACATCACCAACGTCGTCTTCATCTTCATCTTCATCAGATCATATTGTCCCGGCGCCCACCAATGCTTCATCCAGCTCCAACATTCTCGGATCTCGCAACATCACGCTAAACAACTCTTCAAATAAGTCTACTGTTACAAGCAGCAGCAACAGCAACAGCATTACCACTAGCAACAGCAGCGCCGCCTTGGGCCGGCATGTGACTGTGATCAGCGAGCCAGGCCGCGTGGCGTGCTATTTCCCCAGCGGCGGAGCGCCCATCCCTCTTCAACAGCTGCCCTTGCAGTACTTCCCTCCCACCTGTCCGCCCGTCGCCCTCGCGCTTTTCCCCGCCACCCTCAACCTCAGCCTGGGCGCAGAACTTTGGCTCGAGTGCCACGGGTTGGGGGTTCCAACCCCGTCGGTGTCCTGGATCCTGCCCGGTGGATACGAGATCAACGCCACCTCCACGCCGAAATGGCCGGATGGAAGCGGCAAAACCACGCCGGCGTCGTCAGTGCGCGTTGTTGGGGAGACACGTCTACATATCGCGGCGTTAACGCTGGCGGACAGCGGACCTTACGGCTGCCGTGCGTCCAACGCGGTAGGGGATGACTTCAGCTCTACTGTGGTTCTAGTGCTCAATAAACCCCTGCGTTTGGTACAGGTGGAGGTGGGTGGCGATCACATCACCGTGTCGTGGCGCGGCTCGATACCGCGCCCACAGATGTCGCAATTTCAGCTAGTCTATAGGAGCCTGCGACCATCCGCTATCGAGGCGGAAAACGCGCGGCAAGATGACGCTACCTTGAAGGACGGCGGAAAGAGCGGCGGAGAAGAGGAAGACGGCTCGGCCGAGGTGTCGGGTTACCGGGTCGTCTTCCTACACGGCTCCATACACAAATGCACCATCACGGGACTTGAACCGCGAACCACTTACGAGGTATGCTTGGTGTACCGGCGCAACCAGCCCGTGCACTGCCAGAACTACACCACGACGACGGAAATTCGCCGCGTGGCCGCGCCGGCGGGCGGTATTGTGCGCGTGTCCGGCTCACAGATCGCCGTGGGCATGGCGTGCGTTTTGGGCTTCGCTCTGCTGGTGGTGAGCGTGGCTCTTGTGCGGAAGTTGCGTCACCGGAAGGACTACCGTGACCCCCTGGCGGAGGAGGAGAAGGCAGCCATACCGCTAGAAGGACTGGCCCCAAACGCCCCCAGCACACCGCTCACCTCCTCCAGAACAGCGCTGCTCACGAATTCGCAGACGTAGCAGCAGACCCGAAAGAACCATACTGTCACAGACTGCTCTTACACACACAAACAAACACACACACACACACACACACACACACACACACATGCGTGCACACACACGCGCTCACACACACACCAGCTTTACAGACTAGCTTTTTGCGCATATTTTGGCGGAACGGTCGTTACACAACCATACACATGAATCAACACACACACGCACACACACACACACACTCACACCTATTCACATGCACGCAAACGCACGCACGCACACACAGACACACACATTCACACCTACAAACTCGCACCACACCTACACATAAACTAACAAAGATATACTGTTATTCTCTCTCTCTCTCTCTCTCTCTCTCTCTCTCTCTCTCTCTCTCTCTCTCTCTCTCACACACACACACAAACACACACACACACACACACACACACACACACTGTGCATGTATAAGTATAAGCACATTAAGATCTCTTTTCGAACCCGGAGACTAAGATTACGAATCAAAACATACTTTCAATACAGACAAACATTGACACTACTTCGATTCCCTAACCACCTTTGTTTTCAAGATACATTATTATGTACATGTCAAGGAATATAAAGTGAGTCATACAAGATGAGTATATCTAATTATCTTTAGAGAGAGAGAGAGAGGCAGAGAGAGGGTGTGAGAGAGACGGGGTGGAGAGAGGGTGTGAGAGAGAGAGAGAGAGAGAGAGAGAGAGAGAGAGAGAGAGAGAAAGAGAAAGAAAAAGAGAGAGAGAGAGAGAGAGAGAGAGAGAGAGAGAGAGAGAGAGAGAGAGAGAGAGAGAGAGAGAGAGAGAGAGAGAGAGAGAGAGAGAGATAGAGAGAGAGATGGATGGATGGATGCAGACCCATAACTTTGTGATTTGATTGATTACTACTCCGTGTCCAATCTGGCGTACATGTATAGTGTATGAATCCATTTAGCGTTGCTGAACCGTTTCTCATGAACCATGAAAATGATTGTAAAGATACGAGCCAATAATTCGGTCGTCTACGACCATTGTATTACCGCCGTGCAATGAACGTGTGCATCTGGCGGTGCTGTGTTCCTTAATAAAGTTATGCGTTCTTGAAGCGCACTTTTGTTCCGACCTTGACCGTTCTGTGTGCGTGTGCATGTATGTTATATTATGTGTGCGTGTGTTTGTGTGTGTGTGTGTGTGTGTGTGTGTGTGCGTGCGTGTGTGTGCGTGCGTGTGTGTGTGGGTTTGTGTGTGTGCGCAAGTGTGCTTTTTGTGCGTGCGTGCGTGTTTGTGTGTGCGTTTGTGTTTGCGTACGTACGTACGGGCGTGCGTGCGTGTGTTTCTGTGCGCGCGGTCTTTTTTTTTTTTTTTTATCTATTCGCTCCCGTAGAGTTCTGGAAAGCCATCAACACAATTTAGATCATTTAGGAGGCAGGTTTCAACCCTGTCTGTCAGGGCCAACCCGGTCTGAGAGGGATACAACATCCCAGCAGAACAGTGATTTAAAAAAATCTCCCAACACGGGAATCGAACTCCGGTCTTGCGTGAACGACGGCGAAGCGCCTTACCGCTACAACACGGACGTCGGTATACAGGGCCTGGGAATATATATGAGGCAGCGTGGTGGAATCAGGCTCTCGTCAATTTTTGGGCATGTAGAGTTATTGGTGTGATCGTAAAGCTTGTTCACTTGTCTTTATTTCAATGACAAAAATATCTATTTATCTTGAATACAAGTCGAGATATTTGCCAATGAAGGAGGTGGGGGTCACCTGTTCTCAGAGGTAAAATTAGTGAAAAAATGGCCACCAAAGATTAGTTGTTTCCTTAGCTTAAGAGTCCGTGGTAACTGAAAATTTACATTTTTATGCCTTTAATCAACGTTTTTAAGACAAATCCACACAGAAATGAATTCTTTAATGGGCATGAAAGGTGTTGAGCCAAAAAACAAAAATTTGATTAAAACTCACAAACCTGCGGAAAAATGCAAGCTTCTTCACTTTGATTATTTTGACGAGAGCCTGATTCCACCACGCTGCCTCACTAATGAACTGTACCAGTGGAGATGTAAAATGTTTACGACAAAACTGGATAAAGCCGGAGAAGATGATCTGGAACGTGCAACACCCCCTCCCCCAGCACGCGCACGCACGCACACGCACGCACGCACGCACATGCACACACACACCACACACCTTTCCAAAGAATAAACTGAGCAAAACAAACCGCAAGTCGGCCTCTCACTTATTTATAAGACAATTCGGAATAAACAGTTGAATTTAAAATGCAGTTTCTGGGACTCTTGAACCGCCATAAAGGCCTTACTTGAAAGATTGAAAGTAGAAGGAAAACGAGGAAGTGGTAGACCAGGAGCAACTCTCCAGTAAAACCTGAACAGGTGGATCACCGGGTACAACCAGGATTTTTAAAAATATAATTTTCTTTCTGTCAGATTGGTATTTTATTATGACGATGAGCTATGTTGTATAGGCCTGGTCTATTCACTACCTATCGATAGAAAAAAATCATATTATTATTGTTTCGTTAGAGTTTTACGGCACTCGCAAAACAATTATGACAAGTAAATGCCGAACATTAAATAAAGGTGTTGTAAGAGGAGAGGGAGACGGATGTTAGAATGGAAAGGAGGAGCAAACAACACCAGAAGTCTTTGTACACTTTATCCCTCCATCCGGAACTTGCCTGGCCTAGTAGGCACGCTTGGCGTTTCTACATTCTTTGGGGAAGCGTACCGGTCGCCATGATGCCATGATCAAAAGACATTTTTAACTTATGTAAAGAACGAAGGGATTGAGATTTACTTATAATGTAGAAATACCCCCCCCCCCCCAAAAAAAAAAAAAAAAAAAAAAAAAAAAACCCGACTGCCGGCATCGAAATGGCGCCAACGATACAGACCACTACAAAGAAGTCACAAGCCTGAAACCCAGTTTCCAAAAAAGTCACCACTATTTTACACTACGTGTAATACAAATAGGTTGTTACAAAGCCAGCGTATTTCACCAAAGAGGTAACGGTAAACTTTAAAGAAAAGAAAGTGAGGATTGTAAAGGCGATACACTGGATAAAATATCTATATTTCCGAGTAAGTATAAACACTCCGGTGGGTTATTTCACAATCAAAAAGGTTGCATCCCATACGTTCTTATCTTATCCTCTGACTGAAATCGGTGTCCACAAAGCCGTCAAGGTTGCATCTCTTATAACACCTCCGACTAAAATAGTAAGGTTGGAACCAAACATAAAGGAAATACATTCGAGAGAAAGTAAAAGTATACCATAATAACAACATTTTTATAAAAAAGTATCAGACATTGAAAATGACTGGAAAACGGCCAAAAGCGCTCCCAATTTCGCCACTCACGCAAAGGGGGACAATCATTCATTACTCACAGGGGAATTTAAATATCAAGGCTACATCCCTTGGACTTAATTGCGTTAAAAACCGCATAGAGGCAAGTTGTCACTAAACGTACTCTGTCACCCGCAAATCAGATAATCTAATGATAAAGGTCTGAGGTATACTGTGTACAATGTACCTTCTCAAATTGAAGACAAAAATATCAAGACATTAACTGTATTTAGGGGGATGGTTTAAATATTCGAACATGTTTACACAGAGTCAACAGTCTATAAAAAACACCCCCAGTAGGTGCATTACCAGTGTTTCATGATACTGTGAGAGGCCATCATATAAATATAAGGACTACCATCAGGCTGGCATCTTTGCTAAAAAGGCAATGAGCTCCTACACTCTAACATTAAATCTGTAAAAACATGTTTTCAGTAAAAGGGGGACACACATTACATAGATGCTGTCTTCAGAACAAAGATAATCAAGTGAAACATTTTTGTTGGCCAAATAAAACAACCTTTCTCCCACTATGGCATGACTTGGAGATCATACTTTTGAAAAATGATTAAGAAGACAAATGAACTAGTAAGTATCACTTTCGAACATTGGACTGCAGGGTGATAAAATCGGGAACATCACTTGGACAATAACAGCAACAACAAAACACTAACTTAACAAGTAATAGTAATTATTTGGGGAGGACAACCAATGACTATAGTTCGGTCAAAAATGCATCGAACAACTTATTGTCAAATATCTCCTTACTATCGAACACAGATTATCAAACTTTTGCGCAATGACTTAGATCTATATCAATTTGTCTTAACAGGTGAATATTTTTTCAAACTCTTGAACACTGTATTCTAGAAAATTCCTTAATAAATACCAATAAAAAATCCTGGTCAATGGTTTCTACAGATTTTAAAAAGTTAACACCTCTGGCAATATCACTTTTAATAGTAAGTTGGTCATTTTTTTCTAATCGCAACATTATGCTCATTGAACGTATGTTTAGGAAACCTTTAGTGTAAAAAATGTGTTCACTATAAAATTAACTTCTTGTAAGAAGTTTTGCCACTAAAAAGTGTCATAGAAAGGTGAGCTGTGACGAAGGCCATACGCGTATGCAAAATGTGTGCGAGGAGCGGGAAGAGCTGTGAACAATCCCATTTTCAGAGTGATGAAGATTTAAAGTATTTTATATAAATTTAGGAAGATAAGTTTTTAATAGAGCCTCAGTGGTTGTGGAAAAATGTGATTAAGTTAAGACAATTGATACAAACTGATGTGCAAAGTATGGGTAACATTGATTCACCCGTTAAAGAGATATTTGAGGACAAGTTGCGCCACGAATTTTTGACTGCACTATAGGCTGCCTCAGGCGTTACCCAAAGGATCGTTGATACTTGCAAGAAGCACCTTTTTTAACGTTGCGGATAGGTGCAAAGATGACAAAACAACAACCAACTACAACAACTGGCTCCATTGCCCCCTCAACCTGTCGGCCACAAACACACACAACAAGGATAGCAACGAGAAAAAAACACATTTTTGATATTAATTAAAAATGCACCACTTTCTGTATAATGGTGCTAACTATCAGTTACACTTTCCTCTGCACAAACCAAAAATTCGTGCCAAAGAAGGTGGAAAATAATACATGCACAGACATGCCAAACCCTCCATGATCAAAAACAGGGAGTTTCCCTGAGAATCCTCCTTAAAACTCTGAGGGGAAAAAATTGGAGTCTCCAGAACCGCAGTAGAATCAGATTATGTAATGAAATAATTGTGAATTACAAATACACACAAATAAACACAAATTAAAATGTGTATCATCATGCCATTAATGATCTGTTATGCGAATATTGCAAATTGACATTTTTTTTTCAAGTCTCTTACGACAAGTGCGTATGACCAATGGAAATGGAATTCAAGAACAAAATTGGATTTCATGCAAATCTGATCAATCAGAGTTCTTCCATGCACAACATTTTCTTTAAAACATTGGAAGACTCCGATTTATTTGGAGTTCTTGGCAGGTCTGCATGTACAACAACCACACAAATCAGAACTCAGCACAGCAAGCCCACAAATGACATGGAGTACTTACACAAGGGAAACAACTTCTCCTCTCTCAAACTGCATGCTAGAAGCCGCCCAGCGGTTCAGCAGCACAAAATCTGTGTTGTTGCCCTCCGCATTCAAGGTTGGCTGGGGACAGATGAACAAACATCAGATGCTATTTGACAGACTGACTGAAGACAGACAGACAAACATAAGCTGCAGGTTAACTGAGGACAGAAGGCAAACATCAGTTGCTATCATACATACAGACCAATAGCTATAGATTGTTTATACCCCAACGTTCAGCTACTAATTACTTGCCTTTAAAATATTTATCCTGAGTAGGGGTTTTTTTTCTCTTGTATTTTTTAAAATGAAAGACAAACACATTTCAGCAACCTCTCCATCTTGGCAAACACAATGTTTTACCAGTATGAACAATCGCTTTTCATTTTGTGAAAATCTATGACCATGCGACCTATAGAGGAGGTAATTGGGGGGGGGGGTTAAAGCTAAAACAAGACTAGATTGTTATGATTAGGTGCTAAGAACATAGATTGACTGACAAGACTCTCCAGTACCTTAAAGCTGAGTACTCATCCCTCTATGAATAAATTGACAAAAGAAATGATTATTTTAAAGTATAAGTGTTCTTCCCAACTGACACAACAATATTAGGCCCGAGTTAAATGTATCATATTCAAGACCTAATGGTTGCAAGTCCAACGGCTTATAATACCACAAACTTTTCACTAAGCTACTGATGTCACAAAGAAACAGGAAAAAGATATCAGCTGTTTAGTGTTAGACTCCGCCACATGCCATTTTGAAAAATGACGTGCGACACAGAGTCTTACAGTGAGCAGTCGATATAATATGCAATATGCACTGAAAGAAATAGACAGAGAATCATTTTTTTGTCACATGGTGAGGATTTTTTATTGTTGTTTTTGATGTTTTACGGCGCTCGCAACTGCATAACGTCACATGAACGTGTGGGACACATTGAGCATTTTCAGTCTGCTAGGAATTAATTTGGTTTTTGCCAGGGTGGTGGCCGAAGCTTACTATCAATTTTAGGACCACCAAGGGATCTTTATACGGGGTGCCCACTACGGATGGGATCAGCCGATCGGGGCGATCGCCCAACTCGATCGCCTCAAAAACAAACGTGTTTGTTTTCAGTTTCAGGCGATCGAGTCGGGCGATCGGCCAAATCCAGCTGTAGTGGGCACCCCGTCGTAATGTGTGAACTTGAATATGGGACCTCCGAGATCTTTTTGTTTTTACCCGAGAAGGATGGGTGTTAGATCTTACTTACCATAAGATCGGGGGTGTGGCTGGAAGTCAGTGGTAAAAAGGAGCCAAGGAGTAGCAGTAGAAAGGCAGAAGAAAAAGTCTGGAGAAAAGAGGGGGCAAGGGGAGGGGGAGGAGGGGGAGGGGCAGAAAGTGGAGACGAAAGCAGACGACAGAACAAATTTAGAGATCAGGAAAGGAGGTGAGAGGAGAAGTTTTTTGAAGAGAAGAAAATTTTCCGTCGCTGTCGGGTTTCGCAACCAGTTGAACGAGAGGCAAACACAATACCTCTAGACCAAGAGAGCCCCCATGGTGGTGGGGTCTGGCCACCTATCATAAAATACTCACATTACAACACTGAAGACTTCATAATCACGATTACCTGCATTGATACACCATCTACAGTCCTCACTGCATAGAAAATGTCGGTGAAGGCCACATATGATGGAACAAACATGATCGCGCCTTTGATCATGTGCTTAATCCACCTGGCCATCTTGTACCTTTTTGTGCTTCCCAGATGATTTCAGGAAATTTTTTTTCATCTGTGGAAATTATTGCACAAGTGTAAATTTGTCGGCCAACTATATTCTCACCTGGGGAGAATAACTCATGATCTGCTATTCTCATCCCCCCCCCCCCCCCCCCCCGACCGGACATCGACAGTGATGTACATCAATATTTCTTTATTGTAATAGTTCGGCCAGCTTCAAGCACCCTAGCCCATGAGATGGAAGGAGCACTCTTACAGAATTAAAGTCAGGATTATGGGATATATATGGAAAATTATGAAGCAGACTTTTGAAACAGATGATCATCTTAACCAGATCTTTGCTAAATAATTAAATTAAATTAAAAAAAACCCAAAAAATAGAATAATAATAATGTTAAAACATTTTTCGCCTCTCCAGTAAAAAATATGTCTCACTACTGATGACACTGGACGGGATGTGAGACCGGCTGGACCATTCGTTGTTTACACACTTAATGATGACAGGCCTCTCTGCCTGCACACACTACATTGGTCCAAGGAACAGAGAGCGTGCATGAACGTGTAATGAGACACAAGCACGAGACTTTTATATTATGCTCTTGCACGACGATAGAAGTAGAAGGGTAGTAAATTATTCAGACCAAATGGGCGAGGGCGTTAAATCGTGTTAACTAGTTCAATTACTAAGCAATCCAAGCTCTTTTCTTCACTTTCATTTCGTTTTCTTTTATTCTTTCTTTTTCTTTTTTTCTTGCCCCTTCTTTCCCCTTCTTCTTGAACATTGGGAGTTTGGAGTAAAAAAAAAAGAGCCAGAGAGCCAAATGAAATTCTCCGGGCCAGACGCGATCCCTCCAAACTGACAACCCTTACTGTGACTATTCCGACCACGAACACAATCCAGTGGAGCATCAGCCCCCCCCCTGGATCATTTCTGGAAACCTCAGCCCTGAACCCTCTACGGTCATTTCCTGTAAAACGAGGGGGTGAGAATAGCGACACATGAGAACAACCACTTCCAAATTTGTCAGACCTCTCCTGCCTGTACTGTTGCGTACGTGTTCGCCGCTTGTAGCAGCAGCGTCAGCAATGATGACGACGTGTGTGTGTTTGGAAGGAGCTCCGCAGAGGGCTGGCCGACCAACAACACACAAAAGAGGGGATATTCTATGCAGGGTATAGATCTACCCTAACCCTAACCTATAGGCCTACCCTGACCCAAAATCCTAACTCTTGTAATCTGCTCAGTGGATCTTGTCATGGTCAGTCTGAAACCCCCTCATTTATAGTTAAATTTACTATTATCAAACATAATAACTCAATCAATAACTAATAACTATTGATTTGCGGCAAAATCAAAAATGAAGGCCATTATATTCGTGTTCAGCATGCAAAATACTACTAGAAAAATAGTATATCAAACGTGTACATGTGACGAGTGTATTAGTAAAAAAATACCGACGATGTACACTTACATTCTAGATCTAGAAATCTAGATATCTAGATCTAGATTATACTGAACTGTAAACTGTAATAATATATACAGAATTAGTACAGTCGATCTGCAACATTCAATCATTATCATTGAGACCAATTTGACTTTGTTGCTCAAAAATCCGTTAAAATTTGGTTAAAAATTCAAAGCCACATTCCAAATGATAAAAGGCAAGCACTAAGGAAATAAGACGTTCTGTGTGAAATTTGCATTTCGAGTCATTCTACCCTACCTGAGCGAAAACATTGTTTTTCTTCGCTGGTAGGGCCTACATCAATGTCATGTTTGACCGGCGAGTCCCAATGTTTTGATCATGTACTTTTGTACTTTTTTCAATAACAGTACGGCAAGGGAGGTCACTCTCAAAATTAATGGTAAGTTAGGCTACTGATGCGTGCACGGCAACGTGCCCCGGGGTCGCATGTGCTGTTGCAACCGGAGGAAGAAAAACACTTTTTGAAAACGATCCCTTTTGAAAATAAAGAAGAAGAAAAAGAATATGAATAGACTGATCTGCTTCTAACTCTTAGACCACAGAAGATTTTTTAAAGAGAGTATTTTTCTGAGCCAACCCACCACTAAAGTAAAGCCACTATCGGTACACTTACCCTTGCACTTTCTGAATCTATTGACCGCTAATCCTCGCCCCACAGTGTGCGCAGCTCGTCCTAGCTCCGAAACTCTCCTTTTAAATGAGGGAGACTGGCAGAATATTTAAAATGCTTTGCGAAGGAAAGGAATCCGATGTTGGAGCATAGGAGAAAGAAGTGAAAGCAATACCGTAAGAAATGACAGATCAGTTGCTTTCCCCCAAAAATAATATATAACTAAAAACAAAGGGCGAGGGGGGGGTCTCTTGTGATCTTGATCGAGGCACAGTGTTCACCTCTCATTCGACAATATCTCCCGTGTTCGAAACCTGATAGCAACGGTCCATTTTCTCCTCTAAAATTTTCTCCTTTCATCTCCTTGTTCCTGCTCTCTAATAATATTCTGTCATCTGCTTTCATTTCCCCTTTCAGCCCCCCCCCCCCCCCCCCTTTCCTCTGAGCTCCTGACTCTTTCAGCTGCTACTCCTGCTCTCTGTCTTTCAGCCACACCCCTGATCTTAGGGTAGGCAATATCAAATACTAAGCCTTCTCGGATATGGGCGAAAAATCTCAGAGGTCCCAGTGTACGTTGAGCACGTAAAAGATCTCTGGTGGTCCTAAAATTGATAAGAGTACGCTTCAGCCGCCACACGGACAAAATTCAAAATTCCTACCAAACTGAAAATATTTAATGTGTCCCGTGCGCATATATGGCATTATGCAGTTGGGAGCGCCTAAAATACCCCCTCCTCCCAAAAACCCCCCAAAAAACCCCCCAACAACAAACAAACCCAAAACAAAACAACAACAAAACAACAATTTCCCTCAACTCTCTCTCTCTCTCTCTCTCTTTCTCTCACTCTCTCTGTTTTGGTGTTGTCGACGCTCGCAACTGCATAAGGTCATAATATGAAAGCGCGGGACACATAAGCATTTTCAGATTTGAAGGGATTCATTTTGAATTTTGCTCGAGAGCCGGCTAAAGCTTACTCTCATTCTTAGGTCCTATTAATTTTAGGACCACCAAGGGATCTTTTTTATGTGTGCAACTTGCACACGAGACCTCCGAGATTTTTTCGCCCGTATCCGAGAAGGACACGGGTAAGATCTTTGGCTTTCTCACTGAGAAGGCCTAGGTTAGATCTTATCTACCCTAAGATCAGGGGTGTGGCTGAAAGACAGCATTAAGAAGGAGTCAAGTAGCAGTAGAAAGGCTGCAGAAAGAGTCATGAGCCCAGAGGAGGGGGCAAAAAGGGGCGGGTCAAAGGGGGGGGGGAGAAGGGCAGAAAATGGAGACGAAATTTGAAGACAGAACATGGTTAGGGAGCAGGAAAGGAGGAAAAAGAAGAACATTTTGGAGATTAAAATTTTCCTTCGCTGTCAGGTTTCGAACCCGGGACCTGTCCCCGTCGTTTTATGCAAGAAAAATTCTGAAATTATGCAAACTGAGCCCAAAAATGAGAAATTATGCGAATTTGTTAATTTTAACAAAGAATGATAAAGGAAAATAATCAGAAATTAGACAAAAAAGGATCAAATTTTGCTAAATTATGCGGGGTGCATAAAACCACGGGGACAGCCCGGGACCCATTGAATGAGAGGTGAAAACCGTACCTCAAGACCTATAGAGCCCTCCTCTCTCTTCAACAGGGCTGTCAGTAGTTTGACTCATAAAAAAGAGCACCTTGACTCTTTAACGTTCATTTAAAGTAAGGAAAGAGTAAGACATACACATTAAAAAAAAAAATTTAAGTAGAGGGTTTTACGGCGCTCGCAACAGCATATGGTCATATGAGCACCAAGGGGTGGGTGTCAACAGAGAAGTCCTTACAGGGAATCAGACTTACTCTGCTCACCTCTTTGGCTTCAACAGCACAAGGTCTGCTTCGACTATCAAGGCACCCCGGAAATAGCGGGTCACAAGAGTGATAAATATAAAAAAAGAAGTAGAGGAAAATGACAATAGTACAATAGTAAGGATAAGGAAAGAAAAAGCAGCAGTTCCCTGTTGCAGATCAGGCACAGTTATGAGCGTGACATGATGAATCAGCCCATTTACAATTCTACTGTGCTGGAACGAGAAATGTCCCCCCTTTGGGAATGGCCTGAAGACACTAGTCAGTGGCACCGCCTCGGGGGGTACAGACAAAAACAACACAGCGAAAGTAAAGAAGTAGGAACAACCAGCGGCGCCCTCAAATTTCCCACGGTACATTGTGTACAAATTCATTGATGGCAGTCTCATCTTGTGGAATAGAATGAAGATGGCAGGCTCATTGATTGAGCAAGTTTGAGGGAAGAGAAGCACATTGACACAGTAACAGTCATTTAGTGAATGAAAAAAAAAGACAGTTGAGATAGAAATGGTACTAAAAACCGTCTACTCACTAGGACAGAAAAAACAAATCAGAAGGAGAGGAGAAAAGTTTCCCTATCCGCCCCCACCCCCTTTCAAACACTAACAGATACACATAATATACACACACAAAAACTGAAAAGTTCCCTCCCTATGTCCAACCAAGAGGGAGAGAATCAATACGCTCTGGCCAAAAAAAAAAAATATATTAACCAACAACAATTTTGAACATTTTGAAATTTATTTCAGTAAAAACATACATGGGTATATTAAAAAAAAAAGACCAGAGAGAAAAAGGACAATTGGTCCTTCATTGTTTCTCACGTTATAAATAAAATTTTCAAAGAAAGAACATGTCCAACTGTGATTCTCTATACATGCCAAATATGGTTTGGTTTTTCCTTTGTTGTGAGGAACAAATCGTGTGTGTAGAGAGAAGACACAAAAAGTAATGGGTCCATAAGAAAGGTAGAAACAATAAACAAAGGCCCCTCCCAACCCCGAGCCATCATGTACTTGGATTATGCTTATCATCAGAGAGTTGTGCCCAATACACGTATGAGCTTGTAGCTACATCATATGGCTAGGTGAATGTAAAATTGTACATACATTTGTAAAATTCCAGCTCCTTTCATTAACAGTTTCTGTCAGGAGATGAAAGGTCGTGACATCTGCATGGCCACTGTGACAATACAAGATCTCTACTATAGAAATTAACATCACTGTCATCAATGTAACTGTGGGAGATTGTCAGTACATGTAAAAGGCAGAAACTCTGAATGTTCACGTATGGCAGTAAATATACATAAACATAAAGTACACAGCAAAACAACATTGCTCAAATGAAAAAAAATTTAAAAATACCATGCAGTAAAGTCACCTCTATAAAAATTTTGTCGTAAATATTTCAAGATCCCATTGATATTATTTAGACCATTTAAGAGGCGGACTGCATAGAATCTGCATGTAAGGGCCAATCCCAGATAGAATACTACCCAGCAGAAAGACAGGTGCTAAAAAAACCCCAACAAGGTAATTAATCTCACACCTTTAGCACATAAGGTGTCGAGCCTCACCATTTATTCCAGACGTTTTGTAACACAGACAAGCACAGCAGCGCAATGTTGATAATCATAGAGAGGAAGCAGAAGCTAGATGAGGGTGGAAGAATGGGAGCTAGGGAGAGAGGGAAGGAGGGAAAGAGGGAGGGAGTGAGGGAGGGAAGGAGGGAGAGAGAGAGAAAGGGAAGGAGAGAGAGAGAGAGAGAGAGAGAGAGAGAGAGAGAGAGAGAGAGAGAGAGACAGAGACAGAGACAGAGACAGAGACACAGAGAGACAGAGAGACACACAGGCCCAGGGACAGAGAATTCTATGAACTGTAGAAAAAACAGAAAGATGTACCCAAAATCAACCTCATCCTTTGTCCACGGCTCAGATTAGTAAAATTTTACAGAATAAATAATAATCCAAGCATAAAAAATAGCCTACAAATGAAGCTGGAATGTGAACCCATGAAGTGCGGTCCCCAAATTAATCAAGAAACACAACAATTCTGTACAGCTAGCAAATCCAAAAATTGAGCAGCCAACCCTATCCTTCCCTTCCCCCATCATTACGACCTGAAAAGAGCAGAAACAGACCTGCTGTATTCCAAACCAAAGCTTCCCTCCCATCTCTTCATTTCCTAAAAATTTGAACTAACAATAAGACTTGAACAGATGTACAATAGTATCAATAATTTTGTGTGAAAAAAAAAAACTATCCATGAAGAACACAGGAGAACATCCCCCCAAACCCCTCCTCTATCCCCCCCAACCTGAACAGGATTATTTATTGACCATAAATATAAATCACAAGGCAGTGAATATAATTATATATAAATATACTCTACATTTGAAAAATTCAAAATGATAAAGACTAAATATACCAGATATGCAACTGACATTATGACACATTGGGATTGGTAGGATATGAATTCATGAACTATACAGTTAACAAAACATGGAGGGGGAAAAAGAAGTAGTCTTCAGTGACCGCTTTGCAAAAATATAAAACAGAGAGAATCCAGTGACATTGCAATGTGCTCACATTTTCATCCGAAACTGAAGTCAACAACTTATAATGTACTAGACTCGTTCAATGAACAGACTCAATTGATTGTCAAGTCATTTTCATGCATGAGAAAAATCTCCAAATGATCAATTGAAAGGGAGAAGTATCACCTGAAACTGAAAGAGAAATTTAGATTTAATCCTCTATCCCGCTTTCGTGGTTGTACACTCCAAAATTTCAAAGGGTGTGGAATCAGTGCGCACTACTTGTGAACGGAAGCCTCACTTGCTTACAATGGTGTCTTAGAAGACAGACTTTCCCAAGATTAGATCTAAACGAAACTAATGAAAAACTGAAAATTAAGCCACAGTGATTCTTCTTCTTCTCGATCGCACACTTGAAGTCTGGTATCTGTCATAAATTGGGCCGTCCAGCTCAGTTCATCTGTCGGCCCATATAGCTTTTCTAGTAGTGTCAGTGGGGTTTGCCACATTTCCTGTCTCAGAGCCCTGAGTGTCTTGCAGTGCTGAAGGATGTGTTCAACAGTTTGGTCTGCCTCTCTACACTGGCATTTTGGTGATTGTACTAGTTTAAAACATCTGTACATATGTTGTCTCAGTCTTGTGTGTTGTGTTCTTAGTAGGAAGATAATCACTTGTTCTTGGCGGGACAGCTCATGGTAGCTATCTCGTGTCTGAGGTGCTTTAAATAGTGTATTTATAATAGTTTTTATTTCTGTGAGTATATATATCTATATCTATCTATCTCTCTCTCTCTATATATATATACATATACATAGATAGATAGATAGATAGATAGATAGATAGATAGATAGATAGATAGATATACACACACACACATGTAATAAGCAGAAATCAGTTGTTCTAATAAAAGAAAAATCCACAATATGAAAAGAAGACGAGAAATATGATAAAATGGATTTTGTTTCAGAAATCTTTTGTCTCTTTACCCAAACAACCAATACAGAAATGTAAAAAAATGAATAAGTGTCACTTACTGCTGAAACAGTAAGTATGTAATTCCTCATTTTTCACTGTAAGTTGACACATTATGGTCTAAAAAAAAACCCCATGTACACACGCACGCACAACACACACACTTGCATGTTTTGTATGTATAAGTATAATTACCATTTCTCATTTCTAAAAGTTTCACCACATGGGTTTTGGCTGCTGATTAGGACGTTCTCTTCCAGCATTACATTTACACTATATATTATATAGGTAATGCTTTTAACTTCAGCAATACCATGCATGCAAACACACATCATTCAAGAATGCAAACACACAGACACAATATGTAGTACAAACTCATCACTTATAAAATCTCAAATTTTAAAAATAAATGCAGTTGACCAATGTCATGGACTGTGACACAAACCTCAGGAAAGGCTATCACTCCATAAGCAAAAACAAGTTGGGCATTCATGGATTCACAGGAAGACAAGAGTACTGGATGCATTAAGCACCCAATAGTGAAAAAGCTCATGATAACAGTAACTGACAGCATTGAAAAGTTAACAGAGTAATAAGAAGTAAAATGAGTGTTTGCAAAATATTACATGAGTCCCATCAGTCACAGTGAGACAGAACCCTTCTAAAACAATTAGCAAAGCAAAACTTCAGGATGCAAGTCTGTGAGAGTGAGTCAATGCTGAATTTTTAACGGTGGAAAGATTTTCAGATAAAAATTTAACTATGCTTTATAACAGTGAGCAAATAAAAACAACATATTGACTGCTCAGTGTAAGACTGCGTAATACATCACTTTTCAGAATGGTGCATGGCAGAGTCTAACACTTAGTAGTTGATATAATCTCAATCAAAATTTCACTTTCAAAAGAAATTTTGTTCCATTAGTAAGCTCTCAGGTACAAAAGCCTCATTTTTACCGCTTGTAAGACCATGTATGTCATTGGGAAAAATGGCACGGCTGGCTGGAGTCGCCAGGTCATATGTGCAAGGACTGATATGATGCTCACAAAATATGTAAACAACAGAGATGTGAGTGCAAAGTCTAAGTGAACCAGTCAATCAAACGGTACTGGATGTAAAAAACACATATATGTCAATATGGTGGACAAGCCATGACCATTAACAATTCATTCAAATTAGAGTTTTGACAAAAGGAGAAAAACGCATCAGGGAATCAGCTTAGGTAGACGAATCAGTATTTCTCCTGTCTACATGATTTAAAAAAAAAGTAATGTCTTATTGAGGCCAATAAGGGTCACACGGCCCAGTTTCTATGGCTTGAAGTGAAGCATGTGATACTTTATATTGTTAAACTCATGTGTCATGATTTTGGAAAACTTCTCATGAGAGATCTCAGCTGATAATATCATATGAACAACAAACTCTTCTTTTATGTCAAGTAGACACTGGAGACAGAAGTGATATTTTCATGAGTTTTATCTTGAATCACTGCCAATTCCTTTAATATCATTATCATTTTTTTTTCAACTTATATTTCGAGTGAAGCCAAACAAATGTATGCACAACAACTTCTAGTGCAGAGTTGATGTCAATCTATCCGTCTCTTTGGCCACTGGATACTAACATTTTTCTTTTCTACATTCAATTCTGGACAACAGTAGCCAAGAACAACTTATAAATCTTTACTTCCTTTTATCTATTGAGTTCCTTACAAACTGGATGGTTTTGTAGGGGTCAATGTTCACATTTGATGCCTGAAACAGAGAAAAAAATAAAAAGACATATTACCACTGTTACACCACAATCGAGATAGCTGTCAATTTATCTTAAATAAGTCAGTTTCTTTACACAGAATTTATCTTGTTTTCTATATGGTGTGATATAAGCAAATGTTTCAAAAAGAGAAATGGAAATTGAATACAAAAGAGATTAAAAGCAAACAATTAAATGAACAGCTGAAAGAACAGAAGAACACAATTCATTATCAAAAGACCAAAAAAAAAAAAAAAAAGAACCTTAAAGAAGCCGATGAGAGAGTTTATCATATAATGACAACAAGATATATAATAATAACAGGAAATAAGAACAGTTGCAAACACTAACATGTAATCATAGGGCACCTTGATGCAGGCTGGGTCCCGTTCAAGCTTGTTTGGCAGTAGTCACCTATGTAAAAGTTTCCCCTGATTTTTCTCTCCCTTTTTTAAAATAAACTTGTTTCATACTGAATTTAAATAATTTAGGAGTTGGGCTTTGACCCTGCTTGTCAGGACCAACCCGACCTGAAAGGGATACAACATCCTAGCGGAAAGACCAATATATATTCGATTAAAAATTCTCCCCATGAATTGAACTTAGATCTCCTGCGTGCAACAGAGAAGTGCTTAACGACCACACCGCAGATGCCAGTAAATTTTCTCAAGAGGAATAACTTACCAAAAAAAGCTCAAAGCTGCTTATGTCTGTCCTTATCTCTGTGACTGCTCCTCGAGTAATGACACGAGCATATGCTGGTAATCTGCCCTTAGAGGTATCCTGGGGGAAAAAAAGACCTCTTGTCAAAAACATTTCACATCAACAAAATGAGAGAGAGTGCACTAATATTGAAGCAAGTGTTGAAAACAAAGTGTAAAGTTTCCTTGAGAACTGCAAGTTTATTTTATTAATATCAAACATTTTTTTGGGGGGTCAGCAGAGCAAGTCCCATCATTTCTAGGTATTGAGTTGTTGGCAACACCAAGACTGCATAATACAATAAATAATTATAACATGCATGTTTGATTGGGTTAGTACTGACTGACTTTACATAAAAAGTTTTTGGTCCTTTTCTTGCTTTTATGAACAAGTAAATCTGTTATTTCATCATTCTCCCCGTGAAAAATACCCTAAACAAATGCGATTCATCACTACTACTATCATATCATCGGTGCATTTGGCTGTCCACGTATGGAGCATTCAGATACTTTTGAGAAAATGTGAACAACATTTTTTGTTAGTCTAATATGAGTTTTAGCGTCTTGATTTTTTACGATTTATATTTAAGCTGTCATGAAATATTGATGCAAAGAAAACTGTAAGAGCTGGTTTTTAAGTCAAATGCCTTAAGATGGGAGTTAAATTTTTTTGTTCCATACACGGATAATGAACTGCAACAATGATATATGTGAATGGTGCTGACGAAATGAGTTACTTCTCGGATTCGAGCTCAATGGAAATCGCTACATCACGCTTATAGGTGAAGTTTTTACAATTTATAAATATGAAATAATATAAGGCATGTTATACTTAATGAATGTGACATCAATGGAAAATCTACAAATGTGACCCTAGTGTCGATTTTTTGCCAATATCTCCATTTGTGGATTGTGAGAAGTAACTCATTTTGTCAGCACGTCTCACATATAGTTATTAAATACGGATGTCAAAATATTTTTTATCACACAGTATCACATGCAGCCACAGTACCAGTAGAGTAAGAGTAAGTGCACACAAGTGTATGGATGTTCATGCAAGGATGTAGGTCTGCATAAACATGCGAAAGCACACACAACATATGTATCTAAAATAAATCTATGGTTGCCTCATTGCCATGGACTTAATCAACTAAACTACAATATATCAAAAGAAAACTCACAAAAGGTGGTAATCCCATGCCCATAGAGTAGCACATTTTCCCCAGGTCATCGATGAAAGCTGAAAAACAAAACACAAAGTGCTCATAAAAGAAAACTTTATTAAAAACAAGTGCTTGAAAGTGTAAAAACGAATGCAAATGTATGAGAGGCTCTGTGTAGATGCTTGCCAATATTTATGTGATGGTTGGAAAAATCAGATGGAAGATGCACTGACCAGCCTAGAAATCACGAAATAATTTTGATCAAATTTGCATACTCATTGTTTTCAATACTTTTATTCAGCTGAAAGTTGTAATGATGATACCACAAGTCTTTGAGTACCACCCCACCCCCCCCCCAAAAAAAAAAGAAAGAAAAAACCCCAAACAAAAACCCAACCCCTTCAAAAAAGAAACAAAAACCCAACAAAAAACAAAAAACCCCAAACATTTAAAGTGCTGACTAGCTCCGGCAGTATGCCTTCTCAAAGCAGACCTACATGTTTGTTAAGGCTATAACTCTTTTGGTGGTGAAGACAAGACAGCATTTGCTGAGCTGACACAGCTTGTCCCAGGGTGACAAACATAGCATACGCTGTGCTCCCACTTATCAAACTGGTAGTCTAGTTTTGAGAAACACTGATGTGGTTAAAGTGGGAAAATAACACTGAAAGTTATTCCTAGAGAGTTCCACTTTCATTTTTCACACAGCTTGTGAACATAATCCATTTCTGAATGACCCCAGGTCTAATTTTCGACATTTAGTTGTTTCTTTTTTGTCAACAAAATGAAAACATGGTTGCACTAACAACTACTGTACATGATTCTGATACAAATATACAGCATTTTCCCTTTGAAATGTGACAAGAAGACTGAAAAGATGAAATAGACATCCACATTGTAGATGATATAAATATTGTTAACCAAGATACGCTTTGACAGACTGACTCAAACAGTGTCTCTGAAGACGAAACAGTTGACTCACCTCCGCTTGATAACACAAAATTGCTATAGCCACTCATGGGAGAACCCAGTGTGAAAACAGATCTTATGTATTTCCTGTTTTGTTTTTTTCCTTCAAACATAACAATTACTACCATGTTGACACAATTTTCCCATAACTTAAAAATATTGGCACCAAATCAGTACACGGGAACAAAAAAAAAATAATTAAAGAGTACCTCTGGGGTGCTAAAGTTGTTGATTGATAAGTGAACTCAGCTGATCGGGCACACAAATAAAGTTGAACAATATCCGTGATATTGCTTCAAAATCGAATGTTTAATGGGCTCAGTCCATGACAAAAACGCAACAACGCTAGCTCGATTTAAATTTCTATGTGGTAATGAAGAAAGACAATAAAAACTGGTGGTCATTTTCAACACAGCGATTTACCTCTAAGCACAAAGTACAGTAACTTGTAAAAGTCTTCAGATGGCTTCTCTGCCATTATCACCACTTCGTGATCCTTCCTCGGAACCTAGGAGAAAGGAGGAAAAAATGGATGAAAGCCATTTCAAAACTGAATTCATTTGAGAAAATTTGTACATGGTCATTGCGAAATTTCCCCTTCATCTTTCAGGGTAAATAATGTGATTTTGCACAATTTCTATAGCTTTGTACAGACTAAAGCCATATGTTTTTTAACTCTATATATATCCGAAAGAGGTAAATCCACTACATCGGGGCCCTTTTTTGGTGCTAAATCTAAAAATGACAAAAATGTCAATAAATGGGTCATTAAATCGAAACTAGCAAACCTTTTTAGATAGTTTTTCATCTTATGAATGAACTTCCTGCATAAGAGACCTGTTTTAGGCAACTGCTGAAAGGTAACTTGATGTCGAAGTCACCGTAAAGGAATGTGCCCGAGCCGTGACGGCTCATCGGCACAGTGGTTCCGGCCGCGAGCCGCTGGGAGCGGCTTGCCACAGATAAAGAGTTAAAAAGGGTGAAAAATGTATCTATCATGTTTCTTATGGGTTCTCCTCTTTCTTTTGTGTTGCTTGAACAAAGACTTAAAATGCATCACAGATTTCTTATTGAATGTTGTAATTTGTCTTATAAAAAGGTCAGATATTTTATTGCATTCCCACATTCACTTCATTGCACATTTTTTTGCTTCTTCTTGACCGGTCAGTTTATGCAACAGATCATCTCAAGTTCCGTTGCAAACCAATAGGCACATCCTTTCACATTCCCACATTATGAGTCTTCCAAAGCTAAGCTTACAAAGTCAAACTTGCTGCTGGGAATTTAACTTGCTAACTTTCAACAGCCAGCTCAGTGTCTTAAAAATTAGAATTGAATAGATTGAATGAAATCTACAATGTCTTCGTAAGATTATGATTAAATCAATTGAAATCAATTATGATAATAATATTAATAATGACAGGCCCTAATAATAGTAATAATAATAATAATTGCATATTTACATAGAACATAGCCACAATCAACAGCATGCTCTATATGCTTTACAACCATTATTACCCCAGCAGACTGTAGAACACTCATAAACATTCTCAGCTTCCTGGGAAGCATACAGTGCAACCTGCCGGTTGCACACGCTCCAATACAAACTGACAAGATCTTTCACTCTCTGTCTCCCTGACCTGTTGAGTACGGAGACTAGCTTCAACTCACCAGGCTAGCAAAGGCCACAGCGTCACCGTAAGTGGCAGTCAGGTTAAGCACAGAGTACATGGTGACCAGGTCGGAGAAATAGTTGCTGTTGAATTCATCGTTGTAGTCCTGGGCTCCGTCTCGCCACACCTCCACTTCACCTGATGGATAAAAACATTACCAGATCCTTCGAATACAGTCTGTTGAATTTGATTTAAAAGAAGCATTTCGACAAAATAACTGTCTATCGGTGCAGGAAAGAAGCAAGACAGATAAACAGAGACAATAGAGGGAGAGAAAAGAAGTAGGATGTACAAGTGGTGCCCTGCTTTAACAACCAACTGTCCAAGACTATCACCTGTAGAAATGATCACTTCCCACTTTGTCCCTTGTATTTTTTTCCATATGTGAGGCAGCGTGGTGGAATCAGGCTCTCGTCAATTTTTGGACATGTAGAGTTATTGGTTTCATCTTAAAGCTTGTTTACTTGTCTTTATTTTGATGAAAAAAAGATCCATTTATCTTGAATACAAGTCGAGATATTTGCGAAAGAAGGAGGAGGGGGTCACCTGTTTTCCTAGGTAAAATAAGTGAGAAAATGGCCGCCAAAGATTAGTTATTTCCGTAGCTTAAGAGTCCGTGGTAATTGAAATTTTACATTTTTTTAATCAACGTTTTTAAAGAAAATTTCACACAGAATTGGGTTCTTTATTGGGCATGAAAGGTGTTGAGCGAAAAAAAAAAATTTGATAAAAATTCACCAAGCTGCGGAAAAATGCAAGTTTCTTTACTTTGATTTGTTTTACTAGAGCCTGATTCCACCACGCTGCCTCACATATTTTAATGACACTGTCCAAGAGGACCACCTGTTCAAGAGGACAACTTTTCTCCGCAACAACGGTGGTCATCGTCTTGGACAGGGGCAACTGTTTTGCTCCAAAATGCAGAGATAAACAATACAATTTTCAACAGCTTCCTTAACATGACAAACAAACCTGTCAACCCATGGATGGGCTAAAATAGGAGATTTCCCCAGAATCCTCCCTAAAAATCAGGGTTTGGGAAAAAAGATTGTAGTCTCCAGAACCCAAGAAGATTCAGATTACATTACAAATCAGTTGTGGCAAATAAACAATTTGCACCAATAAAAATGTGTGTTGTTGCGACATAAGTCATGCAAATATTACAAATAAACTCAAAATAAACCCGTGGATGTTCACGTCATTTATGATAAGTTGCGAAAAACCAATAGAAACGGAATTCCAGAAAAAAAAAAGATTTTATGCAAATTTGATAATCAGGGTTCTTCTACAATAAAAATTTTCTTTTTAAAATTGAAGGGCTCCAATTTTATCACAGTGCTTGGCAACACTGTTGTAAAACATAGATATTTCCAAAATGAAAGCATACTTCTTTTATTCACCTTCTTCTCTTACTCCCCCCCCCCTCCCCCAATTTAAATTCACCTTTTTCTTTATTTCTTTTAAATTTTAAGTGTAAATTCATAACTTCATGTAAGTCAACACAGCTAAAAGAAAGGAGCTACATTAATGGGGGGAAAAAAAGATATGGGACTTGCCACAGACAAAAACCATCTGTAGAAAACAAGTGGGACTTATTCAGTTTCTAAATGCTGCTTAAAAGATTTTATCTAATTATTTTATTTGAAAGAAAACTATTTTTAGAAAAGAACTGATGGATTTCTCTGTTTTCTTTTCTTCGAAGGCAAATAATAATTGTTATTCTAAACAAAGCTCTTCAGAAAAAGCCTGATAACTCCCCCTGGTGAGAGTCTTTTGTCTAAATTGTATACACCTCACAACTAGAAACAAACAAACAGATGTGATCGTGGAGATAAGACAATGTTATGATGCAACCTCTTTGGGAAAAAACAGATGCAATATAATATGCTTCTCTCAAAGAATGCAAGATGACGTGATTCATTTAGCAAACAGTTGAACTTTCAAGCTGTGTGGTACAGGCAGGAAGTCTAAAGCCAAGATATTAACAATTTTGTTACATCAGGGATGCCATTGGGATCTTGTAAAAATAACTGAAAATTTACGAAGTTGCATTTGCAAATAAAAAGACAAGCTATAGACACAACTAATATGAGGTCAAACAGAAAACAAATGCTGAGAACAATAACTGCTCTTCTAACCTACTTTCTGTGAATGTAATGGAAAATAGGGGAAAAATGGCATCCCTGTTTCCAGAGCTGTTAAAGTAGCCTACAGTACTTTTTAAAAAGTACTTAAGTACAAATTTAAGTACAATCTAAAAAATGTACTTAAGTACAGTAAAAGTACTTTCCTGTAAAATGTACTTGAGTACAAGTACTTTTTAAAAAAGTACTTATGAGTACATTTTGGGTACTTTCTGCTAATAAGCTAAGACACTTCAGTGCTAATGCAAAACATTATATTGAATAACATATCCAGTATATTTGGCAAATTAGACCATTTATTACTAAAAATGTAAACAGTATACAAAGCATTTGAATATACAATGTACGCACTGAACGTAGGTGGAAATGGTCTGTAAAATTGAAAAAAAAAACCCCCGAACAAACAGTCGCAACTAGTGGGTAAGTGATATTATGAATAGAACTTGTTTGAGCTAGATAATGTGATCAAATGTAAGTCTGTCCAAGAGGTCGGAAAGTTCTACAAAGAAAATGTAGATACAAAGTTGCTCTTAAGAAAACATAAAATGGATGAAAATGGCCAGCACAGAAATGGAAAAGGGCATTGAATTCTTCATTAACAAATCCTCAAGGAATCAAAGTAGCCTTAAGCAAAAACAGCCCCAAAATTTTTTTACAAGAAATTTAGGTAGCCTCAAACATTGTTACATATACATTGAGAACTCAGTTTCAGTTTCAATTGATTAGTGGTAAGACAGATTTTGGTCACACTGTGTAGTCCACAGTGCCCACGGCAAACCAAAATACATGTAGTTTCCTAGAATCTAGTAAGTGTAGAGTAACCAAAGATTCTCTACTACAAGAGCCTCTGCCTGAGATCCCAGTGCTTGGAAGCAAGGAAAATACGGGAATTTAGCCGACGAAGCCAAGGAAGAATGTACAGTGACCCAAGAACTGGCATGATCCCTGGGTGGGTTTATGACATATGGCGAGCAAAGAGTGGTCAACCTTGATGACCTATCACAGTGGCATGAGGCATGCCATGTACACTCATTAGCCTATCGTGAGTCTTGAGATCTGTATCTACGTTTATCCCAGTTGTCCCTCCCCTTTACCTGTCCAACAATTTTAGCTTTCCATCTCTGATTGAGTACCCCCGCCTTTGTCGTTATGCACCATTGCGTTGTGACCACACCAATTAAAATTCAGGCCGTCTCGCAAATTCGGGAATAAAGAAAAACTGCTTTCAATGGTTAGGGAAGAGTTTACAGTTCGATGTGATCCCGCCTGGAGCGAACTTGTAGGCCATACCCACCCAGTGAGTGATCATTGCCTTTCAGATAATGTAGGCCATGGAGTGATGTAAGTTTAGGTGGTGAGCTCAGATGCGAGTGCGATGTTTCGGGAAAAGAAACGCACCGGTCAGTTCACACCTCAGTGTGATCCCGTCAGCGGCAAACACTGTGCCGTTTCATGGAGTTTTACAACGCTTATGATCACATTCACAAGAGTGGCTGATCTTTGACACGACGGGCTGTTCTTTGATCTCAACTTGGTTGATCGGCTGTTACCGCACTGGGGTTTATACTGTAAATTATGATCAGAAATGCCGGCACTTACCCTTTCATTAAGCTTCAAAAGTACTCAAAATATACTTAACAAATACTCAAAAGTACTTTTATAAAAAGTATCGGAGTACAGTAAAATTACTAGTTTCAAAAATGTACCGGAGTACAGTAAAAGTACCCAAAATTGTAATGTAAGTACAAGTACCGGAGTACCTGTACTCCGTTACTACCAGCTCTGCCTGTTTCATGACATTCTTTCTTCCAACAACAATTCCTTGTAATGCAGCAGCTTTTTTTTTGTTTTAGAAAGGTTTTACGGTGCTTGCAACTGCATAAGGTCATATGAGCACAAAGGGGTGGATGTTAACAGTGAAGTCCAAATGGGGAATCAGGTTAACTCTGCACACCTCTCTAGCCTCAACAGCACAAAGACTGCTTCGATTATCAAGGCACTCTGGAAATAGCAGTTTACAAGAGAGCGACAAACATACGAAAGAAAAAGAGTAAAAATGATGATAGTAAGGATGAGGAAAGAAAAAGCAGCAGTTCCCCCTCTGTTGTTCGGGCACAGTATGAGCATGACAGTGATAAATTAGCCCATTTACAATTCTACTGTGCATAAGAACATGTTTATATTCTCCCCTTTGGGAATGACATCAGTCAGTAGCACTGCCCTGTGGAGGAGGCAGCTTCCTAAATGAGGGCACAATATAAAGTCATGTGACTAACCGTGGTATCTGTGGGAGTCAAGCATCACTTGCATGTGAGGGTGGACCTGGCTGGCTCCACATTTGGGCAGGACGTCCCAGATGAGGGCGGGATAGAGCGCGTTAGGGTAGTGCTTGTTGGCCTTGGTCAGCCTGTGGGGACACTTAATCTTCAGTGGGTCTCTTTATTACATTTAAGTTGAGATGTTTCACGTTTTGTTTGCTGCTTTTGTTTTTTGGGTTTTTTCTGGGGGGGGGGGGGGGGGGGGGGCAGCATTTGATAGAAGTAAAAAGACTAGTTTTTTCTTACCTTCCTAGATCTGAAAAAAATTAATATTGGACTTGAGGGAAAAGCTGAGTCATAATATACACATATACAACAGTAATATATATACACAAAGACAACAGAATAATCGTTACATTTCATTGGAACCAGATGTAGACAAAAGAAATACAATAGTGTCCACCAATCAACATTACTCAGGATAACAACTGAGATTTATGCTATTGCCAGGAGAGGAAAAGTCACTATTTGCACCTTCAGGGATAAAACGAGCACTTGTCCTGGAGCAGCACGATAAAATGTTTGTAGTAATGAAGAAAAAAAAAAAGAAACATTTTATAAACTAATAGAAACAAATAGTAGCAAGGGTCATCCATGGCAGCAAAAGAGGTGAAGTGGGAGATCACTGTACAACATCCATGGCCTGCTCCAGGAATCAAACACTCTGTGTATGTGAGTGAGTGCGAGTGAGTGAGTGTGTGTGTGTGTGTGTGTGTGTGTGTGTGTGTGATTGTGTGTACATGTGTGAGCATGCTCTTATAAGAGCGCATGTAAAGGGGTGTACATGAGTGTGTGTGAGTCTCTAAGTATTAGTTTTTTTTAGCACAAGTTTTAAAGCACTTGCAATACAATTATGTAATATAAGCGCTGGAGATTTGAGGTGTTACTAGAGAGTAACTTACGAAGAAAAGAAGAAGGAAAGATATGGACGATAAATGTTAGATAGGTAAGAAGGCGCAAGCTACAAAAGAGGATCCACCAACCACCCACGTCTCTAAGAAGGTCAGTATGGTGCATTTCTCATGTGTGTACTTATGCGCGCGACTGTATGTACACATGCAGGCACAAGCAAATAAGTCCTCACACATGGGTGTACACGCTAGTCCTTGTATTTATTAAGTGATTCTGTAAGCATGCCTATTTCCACAAATGGCTTATGGTAGAGTGGTTAGCATACCCACCATGTCAAAGTGAGCCCCATCACATCCAAGAATTTCTCCATGTTCCAGTCCAGTGGATTATGTTGTTTCAATGCCACCAGAGCATGGAGTGGATTCATCTTGAAGATATTAGAGGCGGAGAACGCGTACCTCGATTCGACACGGCCGAATGTGTGCTCAGCAGTGAACCTGAACAAGATAAACTATTACTTCAGTGGGGTGTGATAATAATAATAATAACAAAAACAACAACTATAATAATATAACAATTGCATGGCACATATCCCCGCTCAACTGCAAACTCTATGCGTTTTCCACTACATTATTACCCCAGCAGACCCTAGAACACCCCAAAACATTCTTGGCTTCCCAGGACGCATACAGTGCAAGCAGTTGATTAAGCGCTCAAACACTAACACACTGACAAGATCTTTTGCTGTCTACAGCCAGGTACCCGTTCTCACCTCAGTGAAGTGAGTACATTTCTTGCTTAGTGCCTTTCCAAGAATACAATATTGGGCCCCTGAGGGGATTTGAACCTACGATCTAACGGTTACGAGTCCCAGAGCCTAACCACTAGGTCACTGACACCACATGTGTACACATATTACACGTCTCTGGATTTTTGCATGATGGCTGTGATAGTTCTGGCCAGTATCCCCCCATCTTGATCTCGACTATAGTCAAACCATCTGTACCGGCCACCTGTATAAGACAGTAACTTGTACAAACAGCCACTTCATGTTTCCCCCCAGTGGGTTTTGTTTACATAATGACATCGTGTTAGGCACCCACCTGTCTTAGACAGTCACTTTTCTCCCCGATAATGAGTCACCATCTTAGACAGTCACTTTTCTCCCCGATAATGAGTCACCATCTTAGACAATTTTGACTGTATGTATAACACTATTTGCCTTCCTGCAATTACCCATGTTTCTTTCTCTGGGTTAAAGTTGAAACCGATTCAAGCAGAAATAATATATTCTGAAATAATTTTGTGTGGAAAACTAGGGAGTGTATCATTGCCTCGATGGCAATGAAAACATCTGATGACCATGTCTATCATTTGTGGCATATCCTTTTCTCAATGAGACTTCACTTCGACCACCACAGCTGATCATTGGTCCGTCATAATTAATGTGGAGAAGTAGCTCCAGAGGCCATCTTGTCGAGGCAGGAGTTTACTCTTGTTGATATCCGCTTGTTGAACATCAGACTTCATGGCCAAACCCCCAATCAAGATGACCTATCTAGTTGATTTAAAAGTAATTTCCATTTTATACTTCAAAAGGATAAAGGACTGCAATATAAAACTCCATATCAACAAAATCATTGGGATCCAGATAATGTTACATTGATACAAGCTATACATTCATCCTATCCCCCCACCCCCCCAAAAAAATAAACCCCAAACAAACAGAAAAACATGCTTGCTTCATTTTTAATCAGTTAAAAAAACATCCCCTTCACACATTTTTATAGATTTAGGCCTACAGGTAATCTTTTATAGTTGAGAAAATATCAAGCAAAACAAAAGAAATACTTCAACTCACTCTTTAAAGTTACAAAAGTCACAGGATCCAGATGTTTCAGCCAAAATGTCATCCACACTGAAACAAAACAGAATGAATAAAATATGGTCATCAAAATGTAAGAAACTGAAAGACAGACATAAACAGACAGCCTTTCAAAATGCTGAGTTATCATAAAACCAAGATAAAAATGTTAAAAAACTTCTCATAATTAAATCAGAACTTGAGAAAAAGATGTTGAGATGTCTGCAGAAATTCATAATAAGGCCAGAGAATAAGAAAATGTGACTAATGTCGCACTAGACATCTTCATTAAAAGTAAAAGATTTTCTCTTGTATTCTTGTTATAGAATTCAATGTCAGTCAATTGTGGACTCTCCAAACCAGTGTGCAACTGACTTTAAAGTGGATGGTATATTGTCTCATGAGACAGAACTAGCCTTGATTTTTCAAGCAGCTGTACGTTGTATCGTACAATACTAATTAATTATATGCACATTTCAGAGTTTTCAAGTACAGGGTAGAAATTTATGCAGAATTGTTTGGGCAGCTGACCTGGGCAGGCCTGATTTCCTTTGACAATCAACAGATCACATATCTCAAAAAAACATACAATGCACACAAGGGATCCCTGAAGGTATTGACTTAATCAAGCAGATCACATGCCAGACCTTATCCGTCCTGTGACAATGAGCATGACAAAATAAAGGCAAAATTAACACTTTGCCCACTGAACATGCCAACACAATCTCAGAATTAAAACATGTACTTTGGTATAAGAAGAAAGCCCTTAATCTCTAGGCTAAAGAGCCAATAAACAGTTAAGTTTAACTGAAGAAATCTTATAAATTTTATTGCCACACTTTTCATAGAAAGATCACAGAAAGAAAAACTCACTATTTCTTCTCCGAGATTTCAGGAGGAATTACGGGCCTCTTGTCACGGATAGGGTTGAAGATAGTGTGCTCATGAGTGTAGTGATTGACGACATGAATCACATCCTGTGCACATAAAATGAAACTTTTCTCAGAACTGAGACAATTCATAAGTTTGTTCTGAAAGGGGTTAATCATCAGAAGCAGATTTAAACAGAAATCTATATTCCAGAATGACAATTCTTAAACACCGATTTTTCACCAATTAGTAGAGGTTTTATGGCGCTCGCAACAGCATAAGGTCATATGAGCGCCAAGGGGTGGATGTCAACAGAGAAGTCCAAACAGGGAATCAGGCTAACCCTGCTCACCTCTCTAGCCTCAACAGCACAAAGTCTGCTTCAACTATCAGGGCACCCCGGAAACAGCAGTTCACAAGAGAGCAACAAACATGATACAAAAGAAGTAGAGGAAAAATGACGATAGTAAGGATGAGGAAAGAAAAAAGCAGTTTCCCCTATGTTGTTCCGGTACAGTATGAGCATGACATTGATAAATCAGCCCATTTACAATTCTATTGTGCACAAGAACATGTTAATATCACCTCATTGGGAATGGCCTAAAGACACTTCAGTGAGTGACACTGCCCTGGGGTACGGAAGGGTGTGTGTGTAAGACTTTTACGGCACTTGCAACACAATAAGGTCGTGCTGTAGATTAGAGCCCTTACACGCGAGAAAAAAATACAAAAAAGAAAGAGGAGAGATGAGGATGATAGATGTTTGATAGACAAGAAGGAGTAAACCACGCCAGTGCACCTGCCAACCACCCACAAATTGTTGAATGAAGCAGAATTGTAGTCAGTAGCAAACCATGGGGACGGTGGCCAAATTTTGTCACAGGATACAAGTTAAGACAAAAACAAAACTAAACAAAAGTTAAAGATGTACACGGCAAAAAAGCCCTCCCCCCGAAAAAAAAAAGACAATTTTTGTTATGATCTTATGATC